ATTTTCAGGGTAGGTTTAAATTGATCAATGCGAGGGTACTGAAAGTTTCGTCGCGATCGGCCGCTTTTTACGCGAGTTATTCGCGAAAAACCTTAAGGGGGGTTGCATCAACCCCCTGTGCCGGCGAGGGTTAATATAAAAAATTAAATCATGGCATCCGGGCTGTGACGAAAAACAAGTGGCCAAAATCCGATGATAAAACTGGATTTGGGGGTACCCTAGGCTTGGCTTCTGAGCCTCTGGTCCCCCAGTGAAAATTTCTTAGAGGAGGCCCTGGTGTGGTTTGTAAATTACCGCTTCCGCAATTGGAGGCCCCTAATTGCTTGGAGGCCCCCACTAAATGGAGGCCCCCTTGGACGTTTGGGACCCCAATGGTGATGTCAAAGTTTCACCCATGCCTTGAAAGGTATGGGAAGTTCAAACTTGCACACACTGGCGGTTCCAGCCGTTTTCAAAGGGAGGGGCCAAAGCCAGCCAAAAGGTCAGGTCTCCAAAGGTTATCAATGACAAAATCTCCCACTTTTCATATACTTGGATTAATTGGGATCGGGAGTGAGGATTTATTGACTTATCTTGCATGCATGTCATTTTCTTGTGGATTGCAATCCTGAAGAAATTTTAACCCTCGCATGTGTGCGGCGTTTTCCAGCTTCTAATGTGTAGGGGGGGGGGGTCGGTTGGACCCCCCCCCCCCTTGCCGTTTGGCCCCTGATCGAGCTAGAGCTTCGCGGAAAAAAACGAGCGTGTTGCCCGTGACGAGAGGAAGCCGATGATACCCAATTTTAAGGTCCTAGGTCATTGGTTGACCTTCCAGGTCAGCTCAATGACCCAAAGTCGGGAAAATCGGGACCTATTAGAAAGTCGTAAAGTGTGGCTGCTATGGGGTTTTTCGGGGTGCTGATCACGAATATCGTGTTAGTTTTGATCACAGATGATGTCTTTAAGCATTTGGACCAGGTCGGGTCAGGTCAGGTCAGGTCAATCAGTAGGCGCCGTGACGGGTATTCGTAGTACGTGTCAACCGCCTCTGACAGCTTCGTAACATGTTACGAAGGCACCAAAACTACTTCGTAAATGTTCAAATGGTTGCTAAATTCAAATTCAGCTCCAAAAACTAGCCTAGAAACATGTAAAACTCGAAAAAGTGAACCGAGGTCACCCGAGGTCATCAAAGGTCAATGACCTGACCTGACCTTCAGGTGACCTTGACACCCACCCTAATGCATGGGAGCAACATCAAATCACATGTTTGAACGTTTGAAACCAGGAAAAGCTTGCAAACGCGCGGCTAATGCGAGCCGACATACGCCGAATCGCGATTCCGGCCAAACATGGTCTCGGAAAAGAGGTCACAGGTCAAAGGTCATTTGGGTCAGGGTCATGAAATTTTCAGGGTAGGTTTAAATTGATCAATGCGAGGGTACTGAAAGTTTCGTCGCGATCGGCCGCTTTTTACGCGAGTTATTCGCGAAAAACCTTAGGGGGGGTTGCATCAACCCCCTGTGCCGGCGAGGGTTAATATAAAAAAATTAAATCATGGCATCCGGGCTGTGACGAAAAACAAGTGGCCAAAATCCGATGATAAAACTGGATTTGGGGGTACCCTAGGCTTGGCTTCTGAGCCTCTGGTCCCCCAGTGAAAATTTCTTAGAGGAGGCCCTGGTGTGGTTTGTAAATTACCGCTTCCGCAATTGGAGGCCCCTAATTGCTTGGAGGCCCCCACTAAATGGAGGCCCCCTTGGACGTTTGGGACCCCAATGGTGATGTCAAAGTTTCACCCATGCCTTGAAAGGTATGGGAAGTTCAAACTTGCACACACTGGCGGTTCCAGCCGTTTTCAAAGGGAGGGGCCAAAGCCAGCCAAAAGGTCAGGTCTCCAAAGGTTATCAATGACAAAATCTCCCACTTTTCATATACTTGGATTAATTGGGATCGGGAGTGAGGATTTATTGACTTATCTTGCATGCATGTCATTTTCTTGTGGATTGCAATCCTGAAGAAATTTTAACCCTCGCATGTGTGCGGCGTTTTCCAGCTTCTAATGTGTAGGGGGGGGGGGGTCGGTTGGACTCCCCCCCTTGCCGTTTGGCCCCTGATCGAGTTAGAGCTTCGCGGAAAAAACGAGCGTGTTGCCCGTGACGAGAGGAAGCCGATGATACCCAATTTTAAGGTCCTAGGTCATTGGTTGACCTTCCAGGTCAGGTCAATGACCCAAAGTCGGGAAAATCGGGACCTATTAGAAAGTCGTAAAGTGTGGCTGCTATGGGGTTTTTCGGGGTGCTGATCACGAATATCGTATTAGTTTTGATCACAGATGATGTCTTTAAGCATTTGGACCAGGTCGGGTCAGGTCAGGTCAGGTCAATCAGTAGGCGCCGTGACGGGTATTCGTAGTACGTGTCAACCGCCTCTGACAGCTTCGTAACATGTTACGAAGGCACCAAAACTACTTCGTAAATGTTCAAATGGTTGCTAAATTCAAATTCAGCTCCAAAAACTAGCCTAGAAACATGTAAAACTCGAAAAAGTGAACCGAGGTCACCCGAGGTCATCAAAGGTCAATGACCTGACCTGACCTTCAGGTGACCTTGACACCCACCCTAATGCATGGGAGCAACATCAAATCACATGTTTGAACGTTTGAAACCAGGAAAAGCTTGCAAACGCGCGGCTAATGCGAGCCGACGTACGCCGAATCGCGATTCCGGCCAAACATGGTCTCGGAAAAGAGGTCACAGGTCAAAGGTCATTTGGGTCAGGGTCATGAAATTTTCAGGGTAGGTGTCAAATTGATCAATGCGAGGGTACTGAAAGTTTCGTCGCGATCGGCCGCTTTTTACGCGAGTTATTCGCGAAAAACCATGGGGGGGTCCATCCGACCCCCCCCCCCCTACACATGCGAGGGTTAAAGGGGTGATTTTGATTTGGAAAGGGGGGCAAATCACGTTTTCGCCGCCCCTATCCCTGACTTTGGCCCGGTTGCCCCCCCCCCCCCTGGAACTGCCAGTGCTTGAACACAATGTGTAAAATTGATGAGGGAAAAGTCATGAGAAGTTTCTTCTTTCCAAAAAAAGTTTTCTCGCTATTCACGAAAAACCTCATGGGGGGGGGAAGGCGATAAACCACCCCCCGTCGGTGCGCGGGTTAAAGGTAGTGTGCCAGCTTTCCTGGACCGTATGGAGTTAATGGCCCAGATAAGGAGAACTGGATTTTTAGAACTTATCCACACCTTCAAAACTCATGGAAACGTCTTAAATTCTTCAAATTTTGAGTACCCCAGTGCGAAATTCGCCCCGACGGGTTGTCGGTCGTACCCCAACCACATTTCACACCACTATGAACAATAAATGCACACACTGAAATCGCTATTACCGATATGCTCATCCAATCAAGTTTCGATAAACCCGTTCATCATCATCTCCTGCGGTTTCGAACACGCCTGTTAGGTGGTGCGGTAGACCGCGCCCAAAGCCAGGGCCCCGGTAACGTGAGGTAGCCGAGTCGGGGCAGCGTGCGCTGACCCAAGCCGGGGCCGCGCGTCCTCCCGGTGTCATGTGATAGCCCGGGGCTGCCCGCGGGGATGCGGTAGACCGCGCCCAAAGCTGCGGCCCCGGCTTGGGTCAGCGCACGCTGCCCCGACTCGGCTACCTCACGTTACCGGGGCCCTGGCTTTGGGCGCGGCTTCTGCTCATACTTTGTGGTGCGGTGGTGGTGCGTCGGGCCGCGCGCTCTGACTTCGGCCAAGAAAAATGCGTCAGCTGATCATTGTCATTTCTGCCACTTGCGTGTGGTGAAATGGGGTCATAACTTAAGAGACGGCTTTTTCATATCAATTATTTTACATAAAATCACATTTCAAACCATAAATAATGTTCGACAGCCAAATAAAAGAAACAATACCAATACAGGCTTACGGTTTAAGGCTCGACATTGTGTTGTCTACGATTAGACAGCTGATAACTCATTCCCGTACCTACGTCGTAACTCTATAATGACCTTTGCTTATTGTCACATGTGCGCCGCATTCGCGATTGTTGCCGACGCCTGTTTACAGGTCAGCCCACTACAATTGTTATACATATCGAAAAACCGATAAACTTTTAGGCGAAAAAGGCACTATTCCAGGCCCATTTTTGAATTTTTTTTGCGATATAAGGTATAAACAGAAGCTTCTTATCCTAGGAAAAATAAAATGGGAAATCTTTCAAAGGTGTCACACTACCTTTAATGGATTAAAATGAGCGTTTACGGTGTAATGCTCAGAAGTTTCCCGAAATAAGTTATAAAAAACGTAAACGTTTCGAACGCTCCCCAGCTTGTGCCATATGCCTCCTTACCCTGCTTAGGCCTGTGTGGTCAACACACATGTATTAGGCATCAGGTTGATGATTCTAATCATTTTTATTTACAGCAACCGGTTTTAAGCCCTGCCTAAGATAACAAAAATCCTATAAACCCATACTTACTCAATTTCAGTTTCATTAACTAGCGGCTCATATCAGATTTACAGTATGCTGTTAGACACGACATCATATTTGGAAGTGAACGGCTCAAGCGTCTTTTTTTATTTAACCATTTGTGTATAATAAGAAGAATAAAAATAATCTCCCTCAGAACCTAAGAGTTAATCTGCAACAAAATGCCTGAGAACGTCTGCAAATATTCCTTCAGTTTAACTCCCCAGCAAAAAAAAGCATCTTTGCCTGAAACAGACGCTTTCCGCAGTCAGGAAATCGCATGCGAGAGCCTATTCAAATACATGGAAGCACGCTCGCATCAATCGCACGCACCTCCCGGATGCGATTGATGCGGGAAGAATTATAATGTATTTGAATAGGCTCTCGCATGCGATTTCCTGAACGCGGAAAGAGTCTGTTTCAGCCTTTAAGTCTAATGGTTCCTTAATTTTAAAAGTCAAGCATTCGCCGAGGTCATCATAGTTTTTATTTACAGTCTTTCATTTGGCTTTATTCAGTTTTCTAATTTTCTCCCGCTCATACCAAGGTGATATGGTGGCGCATCACCAGGAAGTCTTGGATGCCAAAGTCGTAAAAGTGAAACTTCCTCGGGTCGATCTCGCTGAAGTCTTCCAAAAAGTTTCTCACTTTGACTCGGGGTAGCAGGCTGGCCATTCTGAAAAAATGAAACAAGTTAATAAGCTGACTCGCGCTCCGCTGAGATATTCAGCCGAACGCTGAATTTGCGCTGAATAAGGGAGGGAGCATGAGCACTGAGCAGGGACCCGTTGGGACGGGCATATTCTGTTCCTTGTCTAACTTTTAAACGGATCTAGAAGGGTACGTTTCGGATTGCATACCAAATATGATCCATTTTTAGATTAAATTCATTTACTCGTTCTTTGAGTTGGGTTCATGCCAATCGTTTTGAATTTCCCCACTGTTAAGCCCCGTGATTAAAGCCCAGCGGAGAGGGGTGAGAGTGGAGGCGAGGTGGGGGGGGGGGGGGGCGTTCAGCTGAACAGGAACGTCTGCCTGATTAGAGGTACGTGATTAGTCTTACGGGCCGCCCCCAGCGATATTGGTTGGACGGACGGGCGGGCGCGGGCGCGGCCATTCCGTCATATCAGACAATTAGTCTGGCTCCGGGAGAAACCATCGATCTGTGAGCGGACATCTGTGGCTCCGGGAATTGTGGTCAATAGTGATCAACCACCGCCACAGGGCATACACACACACGTACAAATTACAAATACCGGCACATACAGCCACACAGATCGGCCTGTTACACATGCATGTCCGTACACACTACACAGCTACACGCAGAGACACAAACTGGGGTACACCGTGAGAACTTTGAGCAACGTGAGAAATATTTTTAAAAATTTCTCCCTATCTCTATCTGATCACAAATAGGTTAACATTTTTAACGAGTTGCACTGTATTTCTAATCTCTATGATGAGTATGTCTATTTTTTTCAAATCAAAAAGGTGATAGGATGAGAGCCGGCAAATGCCAACATTTAGGTAATGAGGGAATGCAGTTGAGATTCATTGCTCCTAATGTTCCTTTCAGTCCATTTTCTGTGTGCTAGATTATACCAAACCATTACATTACACGTATACTCGTATTACGCAGCGTAACATTCGAACATGACGACGCGATGCTTGTCTGTCAGGTGGTCCAACAAATCACTTAAGTCAAGAACACTTTAGTAATATATTTATTGATGTCATAACCAGAAGGATCGATGCTTTGGAGTCTGATACGTGCGGTGTCCTGTCTAGGGAATGTAGTAGATGTATGGCCGATATGCATTGTCTCAGTGGAGCACCGCTCCCGCAACCTCGGCCAATATCAGCCACAGGATTTCACGCCAGAACGGCAATACCTGGCGGTATCGACTACAATGAGTGAGAGATGGGAGGCGACGTTCCGAGGAAGGTCGCGCCGCTCCAGGCTGTGTCTGTCGTCCAGAACGGAGCGGCGAGTGACATACCTCACCCGCCGCGTGACAAAGTTACTGGCGTGTGTCACAACAAATCACACTGGAGTCCGTACATATGTGGCCACATCACGTGCAGTGTACTTACGTTGAGGGAGATTGTGTTGAGACAACCCAAAGGGTACGCTCACATGGTACAGACCCGAACAAAAGGTCATGGTTGCCGACAGCAGCCCATAATGAGTGTTGCATTATTATGGTAATTGATAGTCGCTTAGTTGGTGTGCCGTCTGATGTGATATTCAGTGAGGGCAAAATCCATGATTAGGATAAAAGCGAGACCAAAATAGAGAGAGAGGGGGAGACAGAGAAAGAGAGAGAGAGGGGGAGACGGACAGACAGACAGATAGACAGACACACAGACAGACCAACAGACCGACAGACTAACAGACACACAGACCGACAGACAGACAGACAGACAGACAGACAGACAGGCAGGCAGGCAGGCAGGCAGGCAGGCAGGCAGGCAGACAGACAGACAGACACACCCGACAGACTGACAGTCAGGCAGACAGACACTCCTCGCAGACAGTCGCTAGCCCTCGCCCGCACATGCCATTTTCCCATCCTAGAACGCACATGGGGGGGGGGGTGCCACCCCCCCCCCGCGCCATTTCGTTCCTGTTGGAGATAGAGCTTAGCGGTAAAGACTAAAAAGATTCTTTGGGAAGAGACGAATCCAATGATACCCAGTTTTACCTTCTCAGGTCAGTCATTGACCTTCCAGGTCAGGTCAAACTAAAAAATGTTGCTGTTTTGGGTCAGCGTTGGATATCAAGTGCGCTGCTTATCATATACCGATAACGATGCCGTTTTCTGGTGCCAAGCCAGCTAGAACCTCTTTCTCACACTACCCGACCAGGTTTTTGCTGCTGAGGTCATTTCAGGTCAAGTTAGGTCAAGGTCAATTATATGTGCTTGTATGTCTGTGTGTGTCTGTGTGTATACTGATGTGTGCACCGATTGTTTATGTGTCCATATTACATGAAATCATGATCTGAGAAGCTTTTACCATAAATGCAGTCAAAAAACTTCACAAAAAGTAAATTCCGCTTGCCTAAAACGCAATTATCTTAGATGACCTAGGTTGACCTTGACCTTGACCTTGACATCTGTACATCGTCGAACAACATGTTCCATGATGGGTGGGAGGTAAGACTGGTAAAAAAGGCCGAAATCAAGGTGTCAAAAGCTCACAAGGCCCATAGCCAACGCAAGATGTCGAGAATTGGCCATTTGGGTCATGACATGACCTGAAAAACAAGGTCATATCTCCGAAACCAAAGGTCACAGAAACTTGAAATTTTCAGTGGATATCAAGAAAGGATAGAGGAGCAGCTATACGAAAAATCAGCCTTCTAGCTCTAAAAATGTTGAGTGCAGAGCAGAAAGACTACCGGGGGGGGGGTGGCAACCTACCCCCCCCCATGTGCGGGCGAGGGCTAGAAGCGGACAGACTGACGCTAGGAGCGGACGGATCGTCCCTAGGAGCGCACAGACAGACGGACACTTTTCGCAGACAGCCGCCAGGAGCGCACGGACAGACAATCCGCAGACAATAGCTGGGAGCGGACGGACAGACTGACGGACCGACAGACAGACAGACAGACAGACAGACAGACAGACAGACAGACAGACAGACAGACAGACAGACAGACAGACAGACAGACAGACAGACAGACAGACAGACAGACAGACAGACAGACAGACAGACAGACAGACAGACAGACAGACAGACAGACAGACAGACAGACAGACAGACAGACAGACAGACAGACAGACAGACAGACAGACAGACAGACAGACAGACAGACAGACAGACAGACAGACAGACAGACAGACAGACAGACAGACAGACAGACAGACAGACAGACAGACAGACAGACAGACAGACAGACAGACAGACAGACAGACAGACAGACAGACAGACAGACAGACAGACAGACAGACAGACAGACAGACAGACAGACAGACAGACAGACAGACAGACAGACAGACAGACAGACAGACAGACAGACAGACAGACAGACAGACAGACAGACAGACAGACAGACAGACAGACAGACAGACAGACAGACAGACAGACAGACAGACAGACAGACAGACAGACAGACAGACAGACAGACAGACAGACAGACAGACAGACAGACAGACAGACAGACAGACAGACAGACAGACAGACAGACAGACAGACAGACAGACAGACAGACAGACAGACAGACAGACAGACAGACAGACAGACAGACAGACAGACAGACAGACAGACAGACAGACAGACAGACAGACAGACAGACAGACAGACAGACAGACAGACAGACAGACAGACAGACAGACAGACAGACAGACAGACAGACAGACAGACAGACAGACAGACAGACAGACAGACAGACAGACAGACAGACAGACAGACAGACAGACAGACAGACAGACAGACAGACAGACAGACAGACAGACAGACAGACAGACAGACAGACAGACAGACAGACAGACAGACAGACAGACAGACAGACAGACAGACAGACAGACAGACAGACAGACAGACAGACAGACAGACAGACAGACAGACAGACAGACAGACAGACAGACAGACAGACAGACAGACAGACAGACAGACAGACAGACAGACAGACAGACAGACAGACAGACAGACAGACAGACAGACAGACAGACAGACAGACAGACAGACAGACAGACAGACAGACAGACAGACAGACAGACAGACAGACAGACAGACAGACAGACAGACAGACAGACAGACAGACAGACAGACAGACAGACAGACAGACAGACAGACAGACAGACAGACAGACAGACAGACAGACAGACAGACAGACAGACAGACAGACAGACAGACAGACAGACAGACAGACAGACAGACAGACAGACAGACAGACAGACAGACAGACAGACAGACAGACAGACAGACAGACAGACAGACAGACAGACAGACAGACAGACAGACAGACAGACAGACACTCCCGCAGGCAGTCGCTAGAAGCGGTCCCTAGGAACGGACGGACAGACACTCTCCGCTCCGCAGATAGTCGTCAGGAGCGCAAGGACAGACAATTCGTAGACAATAGCTGGGAGCGGACGGACAGACCGACGGACCGACAGACAGACAGACTCGCAGACAGATAGACAAGCAGACCAGCAGAGACAAACACTCTCCACAAACGCTAAGAGCGGACGGACCGTCGCTTGCCGTACAGTCACTGTGAGCGGGGACAGTCGCTTCCTCTCCCACCTGTGAGCGGACAGACAGTATCGCTCCCTCTTCCACCTTTAGGCGGACAGACAGTACCTAGGAGCGGACAGACGGTACGGCTCCCTCCCCCCACCTGGGAGTGGACAGACAGTCGCTACTCGCTGGGAGCGGACAGACGGTACGGCTGCCTCTCCCACCTGTGAGCGCTGGTGCGTGTCGAGTGTTCGGGTGCCGAGCGGGGCCGTCTCAGTCTGTCTGCCGCACTGGTGCCGGGCTGGCTGGCGGCGTCTGTCGCCAGGGAGCTGGCCGAGTGTCGCGACGGCCAGCCGGCGGCCGGTGCTCTGCGCGGCCCGCCCGTGAACCCCTCGCAGTCGGTCCAAGAGCCGCCGGCCGTCGTCGACATCGACCACGCCCTGGGGCGTCAGCAGAAGGCACACAGACATACAGTAAATGAATATGGGTACAAAACATCGATGGCCAACACAAATATGTAAGTTTTTCTGCGTTCGTTTTAACTTGGGTACAAGGTATGCTGCGTGCAGTAACTTATGCATCCCTCCTCTGGTGAGCTGCGTAGGGGAGAGTGGGGTAATTTGGCCGCTTTTTTTAGAAAACGATATAACTTAAAATTGACGACACATTTCTGCATTTTCTCAACGCTGGCAGGTGTCGCATTCATTTTACTTCACTGGACAGTGAACTTGAAATGATAGAGTAATTACTTATATTGAAATTGTGACGTATTACAAAGGTCTGCAAGGCGGCCAAATTGCCCCACTAGCAGGGTTATTTGGCCCGGGGTGTGGGGCAATTTGGCCGGTGTTAGTTTGCGGTCGGGATTTTCTGTTATATTGCGAGTCAGCTTCAGATTCAGCAATGACGTGTGTCCTATGACGCATTTGCCGCTTTTTGGAGGTTGGCTCAGGGGTCACAGGGGTCAAAATAGCCAAATTAGCGGCTCTAGATGCGATCACAGTTTTTTTACGAATAACTTTTGAAGTAATCAAGCTAGGCCAAAACTTCGAGTACCATCGTAATTCTCTCGTCAGTCCGCATCGAAAGATATATGTGTTGACCTTGAGAAGCCAAGGTCAAAGGTTGACCTCAGGTCACGTTGCATCAGGTCGCTTGACCTCAAGGTCACGTGATTTCAAGGTCATCATGCATATCATTCGATGCGCCTTGGCGAGCTGAACAGAATGAGACCATTTGTGCGGCTGTACCATTTTTATGTAAGGATTTATTAGCAAAAAACGTTTGGTAACCTTTGATGACGTCACATGCTCTTACATTTGACCAATCGGAAGTAAGGCATCAAAGTAGTCAAAGTTGGTCATGAATCATGTCATTTATGGTACAATTGACCATGAAAACTCGGCCGTCCCAGCATAGTGACCATGAGCGCACCGGCCAAGTTGCCCCGCTAGTCCCGGCCAAATTACCCCATATTGCCATTCTGAAATTTTTTGTCTATAAAGTCATCACGGCTTTACGGAATTAGATAAAATTGCTCTTGGAACCGCTGAACACCCCCAAGAATGGCGCTATAATGTCTCAATTCGTTTTTAGACCAAATACTACGTGTTATACAACTTTGTAAACAGAAGTAAAAGTTACCATTTTCTGATGAAATTAACGTTTTATTAATTTTGAATAAAACTACGAGGGGCAAAGTTTTGACATTGGTCCTCCAGTTATGTCTACCCATGACAAATGAATAGAGACTAGAGTTATTTCACTCACTTTTATTATACATCGTACAGGTGGGGGCGGCCAATTTACACCACCGGCCAAATTACCCCACTCTCTCCTACCTACTGCTTTATTGCATTCCGAAATTGTCGTCATGGGCCTCAAGCTCACTTTAACAGTTACAAAATAGGTACGAACTTTTAGCCAAAGACCCGATACAAAAAAAAAAATCGGCTTTGGGGGAATATTTGTCCTATTTATTATACAGCCCCATGAAAAAGGCGTATGACCAGCTTCAACAGTGTTTTATGAGATGTTCAACACATATGTTATTTTCTCTCTCTCTCTCTCTCTCTCTCTCTCTCTCTCTCTCTCTCTCTCTCTCTCTCTCTCTCTCTCTCTCTCTCTCTCTCTCTCTCTCTCTCTCTCTCTCTCTCTCTCTCTCTCTCTCTCTCTCTCTCTCTCTCTCTCTCTCTCTCTTTCAGCTGAGTATTGGAAAATGATATCTTGATTTGTTGGCGTTTGGTGGCTTCACCATTACCAAATTATATGAAATGCTGAATCACTTTTGACATCGTCGATGATAAAAACACCGCTTGGCTGCGCTAGAGTAATTGAGAAGCCGACTTTAAAGGTCTTACAAGATGGCCTCAGAGACTGGTTGTGAGGGGCGAGCTAGACATAATTAAATATGTCGGTCAGGGGACCTTCTGGGAGCTGTGTTGTGTGTAGGTTAGGTAAATATAGTCTAAGGCTCTAAGTTTCAAAGGTTATGTTCGTACAAAGTACCAGAAAAGCTCTGGCGACTGTACCTAATATTCTGCAATGTTGTCGCAGCTTGGATATTCGACATTGCATAAGCTACGTGGATAGTGCTGCCATGGGGATATTTCGGAACTTTTGAATTTGTTCAAATAAATGACAGAGATGTATCGTTCAAGATATTTAGACCGGATTCAGCCCAAAATAACAGTAGTAGCTAGGCATTGGCTGGTATACGTATTAGCTAGGCATGCCTATTGCCTATGTACTGAGGAGGATGAGGGAATATCCCAGCAAATCAAGCCAGCATACCAAGCGATAAGGCTGGTTATAAGCTGCCTGCAGTTGATGAAACTACCCTACGGTGGAATTCGCATGCACATTTTTGCCAGCGGTCTACATACTGTCTACTGAGTGACCGCTGGGGAGCGCTGCACACTGCATACACATCCTGCTCACCTGTCCTGTGGGCAGAGTCGGCGTGACAGGTGGGCAGAGCTGTCAGCGGCGTGACAGTGCCAGTCAGCCGGGTCACAGGTCAGCCGCTGTCAGTTCGGCGGCTGCGTCCCACACAGGTGTTCAGGTACGGAACTGATGCTCGGTCCGGGGCTCCTGGAGAAGACCGCCTGCGCTGACAGATGCTCGGCCGTCCGGTGGTAGCAACTATCGAAGCCGGTATATACAGTATTTCCAGTGTCTGGTGTACGACTGCTATGGTCCGTCTACTGTCCACCTGGCCTGTCCACGGGTGGTCCGTCCGTCGCGTCGCGACCGTCGACTATCGACTCCGACGGACTCCGACCGACGTCCGACGACTCCGACGGACTCGGACCGACGTCTGACGCACCACTGCGCACCGACGAGCCGGGTCTGACGAGAAACGGAACAGGTGCATAGATTGGGAGGGAAGGGACAGGTCTGATCAGAGGCGGATCCAAGGGGGGGTCACATGGGTCATGGCCCCCCCTTGAGGCCCGGGGGCCCAAAGACCTGCCAGGGGCACCACCGGCCTATCAGGGGTATCACAGTCCTGACAGGGGCACCACAGGACCGCCAGGGGCACCACAGGCCTAGCAGGGACACCACGGGCCTGGTGCCCCTGGGCCCTGACAGGACTGTAACGCCCCTGACAAGCCTGAAGTGTCCCCGGCAGGCACGTGGTGCCCCTGACAGGCCGGTGGTGCCCCTGGCAGGCCTGTGGTGTCCATGGCAGGCCTGTGGTGCCCTTGCTAGGCCTCTGGTGCCCCTGACAGGCTTGTAATGCCCCTGGAAGGACTGTGGTGCCCCTGGGCCCTGACAAGCCTGAGGTGCCCCTGACAGGCCAGTGGTGCCCTTGCTCGGCCTGTGGTGCCCCTGGCAGGCCTCTGGTGCCCCTGACAGGCTTGCGGTGCCCTTGGAAGGACTGTGGTGTCCCTGGGCCCTGACAAGCCTTAGGTGCCCCTGACAGGCCCGTGGTGCCCTTGTTAGGCCTGTGGTGCCCCTGGCAGGCCTCTGGTGCCCTTGCTAGGCCGCTGGTGCCCCTGGCAGGCCTCTGGTGCTCTTGCTAGGCCGCTGGTACCCCTGCGCCCGGAGAGGACTGGTGCCCCTGAAAAGTCTGAAGTGCCCCTCGGCAGGCCCGTGGTGCCCCTGACAGGCCCAAGGTGCCCCTGCGAGGCCGGTGGTGCCCCTGGCAGACCTCTGGTGCCCCTGGCAGGTCTGTGGTGCCCCTGGCAGGTCTGTGGCGCCCCTGGCAGACCTGTGTTGACTGGTGCCCCTGCTAGGTCGCTGGTGCCCCTCACAGACCTGTGGTGCCCCTGGGCCTTGACAAGCCTGAGATCCCTGGCTATGACAGGCTCGTGGTGCCCCTGATAGACCAGTGGTGCCCTTGCTAGGCCTGTAGTGCCCCTGGCAGGCCTCTGGTGCCCCTGCTACCCCTGCGCCCGGAGAGGACTATGGTGCCCCTGAAAAGCCTGAAGTGCCTCTCGACAGGCCCGTGGTGCCCCTGGGCCCTGACAGGCCCAAGTTACCCCTGCGAGATCGGTGGTGCTCCTGGCAGGCCTCTGGTGCCCCTGGCAGGTCTGTGGTGCCCCTGGCAGGCCTGTGTTGACTGGTGCCCCTGCTAGGCCGCTGGTGCCCCTCACAGGCCTGCGGTGCCCCTGGAAGGACTGTGGTGCCCCTGCCCCTAGGGGTGCTCATGGGCCCAACAGGCCCGTTGTGCCCCTGACAGGCCTGTCGTGTATACTTGCTAGACCTGTGGTGCCCCTGCTTCCTGGCAGGCCTGTGGTGCCCCTGGCGGGTCTGTGGCGCCCCTACAAGGCCGTAGTTGCCCGTGACAGGTTTGTGGTGTCCCTGGAAGGACTTTGGTGCCCCTGACAAGCCTGAAGTGTCAAGGACAGACCCTTTATACGCCAGGGTCAAGTTCGTCGGACTGACAACGATTTGCTTACCTGATAACGTTCCTGGTAAGTACTCACTACTCAGCGTCCACAACATATATACACATAGCACATTCATATATACTTGCTTACAATTGGTAAATGTGGTTGTGGCTATGAGTTAAGATACTGACTGAAAATAAAAAAGAAAAAGAAAAAAAAACTGAAAATGGGGGCCCCACCAAAATGAAGTGGACGAAATCCGTTGAGTTTTTAATTTTGGGTATAGGTAGGGGCACCACTTCGATTCATGACCCTCCCCTTGGAGTTTTCCTGGATCCGCCCCTGGGTCTGATGAGAAATGGACGGGTAGATTAGGAGGAAAGAGGCGGGTCTGATGATAAGTTCGAAACAGGCATCTTGGAAAGGGAGGAGACAGATCTGATAATAAGCGGAGCAGGTAAATCGGGAGGTAAGAGCATGATTAGGTATGGAACAAAATGCATATTGTGAGGGAAGATGCGGGCCGCGGGGGTTGGTCCCGGAAGGGTTTGGTAAAACCCCAGGACAGGTCTGGTAAAGGGTGGCAGGTATCAGTTACGGGTCTGATGGGGGACGGACAGATCTGGTCAGGGGCCGAGGTCGGGTCTGCCGAGGTAGGTATATACAGGTGCGGTGAGAAAATGGACACGGCTGGTGGGGCGCAGGTCTGCTGAGGGCACATCTGATGGGAGAACGGGTATGTTCACTGATCATCAGGGCAGGAACCCAACTGGCGAAATTGAAACTCTGTCTGATTGATGATAGACTATATGTACTCATGACACCGGTGTGGTCGACGTTGTCATCATGAGCATGCTTTGCATAACCTAGCCTTTGTCGCGAGCATACTCCGGCATGCCTATCGCCTACCTCAGGTCAGTGCAATCCTCGACGAAGGGCAAAAGCTAAATTAACTACATATGTATATTATTCAGCTCAGTTTATCGAACATCGACAGCGATTTACCTCCGGTGGTGCCATAGTCCGGGGTCAAAGGCCCATGACAGCCCTGACAGCCTGTCCCGGCTTCTGGTAACACGGACGGGGCGGGGGGCGGGGGGGGGGGACGGAGGGTGATGTGTCGGGGGCTGTCGGTCGACCTTTCCAGTCAGTCACTCGCCACCCGTCCTGTAACACGTGGCGCGAGGTGCGCGCCGTTCACCGTTTATGATGGCAAAGGTGCTGCTCTGCTGGCTGGTAGTGCTTCTAGCGGCGATCGCTACCGGCCTGCCGTCAGCCTACCGATCCGGTAAGCCGAGCGAGAGAGAGAGAGAGAGAGAGAGAGAGAGAGAGAGAGAGAGAGAGAGAGAGAGAGAGAGAGAGAGAGAGAGAGAGAGAGAGAGAGAGAGAGAGAGAGAGAGAGAGAGATAGAGTGTGTGTGTGAGAGAGAGAGATGGTTAAGCGAAAGGTCTTCTGTCAAACAGCATCTGTTATTATAGGCTTTTCTACGCGTCACGCAAATAAACTTATTACGGAGCGAGCGAAGCGAGCGTAGTCTTTCCTATCTGTAATCTTGGTCTTTCCTTAGATTATTAACGGAAATTTCTGAGTAGGCCGGCCGTGCGGACGCTTTTGCGAGGCTTATATCTCAGCAACCCCTTGATCGATTTACATGCGGTAATTTTTTAACGGTAGCTTCATTCCTTCTACCAAGTATTGGACTATTCCCGATGCATATGGGTGACCCCTTATGCACGTGCCACGTGCAAAACAAAGATGTGTCAGTTTTGTGATAGTTGCAATATCTTGGTAACTACTTGGCCGATTGCGCTGAAAGTTGGCATGTAGGTAGGCACCCACTAGGCACTGCATATCCATGTGCCATGAGTGGTGGTGCTGCTGCACGTGCGCACGTGCAGGGGTCGTTTCAAGATCTCGAGAAAGGCTGGACCGATGTCGCTCAAATTTGGTACACGGTTAGGGACCAATTAGTAGGGTGCCGTGCACAAGTCAGTTGGGAGTTGGGACCCATTCTGCACGTGCGCACGTGCAGCGTGCCGCTTCCAGATCTCAAGAGCGGTTGGGCCGATTCTGCTCAAATTTGGCACATCGCTAGAGACCGGTTAGTAGAGTGCCGTGCACAAGTCAGTTGGAGGTACCCCCTCGAAATTTTGCACGTGCAAGGCTCATCCTCTCGCTCGCTCCGTCAGTCGCCCCAAAACGCGTTTTACTACATAGTGTTATATATTTTAGAAATTCCAAAGCGATGCGACGTATGTATACTGTACCTATAGATATTCTTGTATCCAAAAGGTTTAACCTCGCCGGCACAGGGGGGAGGGTTTGATGCAACCCCACCCCTAAGGTTTTTCGCAAATAACTCGCGTAAAAAACTGGTCGATCGCAACAAAACTCTCAGTACCTTCACGTTGATCAATATTACACCTAGCCTCAAAATTTCATGAGCCTGACCCAAATGACCTTTGACCTGTGACCTACTTTTCGAGACCATGTTTGGCCGGAATCGCGATTCGGCGTGTGTCGCATTGCGCCGCGCCGGCGCGTTTGCAGTCTTTTCGTTGTTTCAAGCGTTCAAACATGTGACTTGATGTTGCTCCCATGCATTAGGGTGTATGTCAAGGTCACCGGAAGGTCAGGTCAGGTCATTGACCTTTAATGACCTCGGCTCACTTTTTCCAGTTTTACATGTTTCTAGGCTCGTTTTTGGAGCTGAATTCGAATTTAGCAACCATTTGAACATTTACGAAGTAGTTTGGTGCCTTCATAACATGTTACGAAGCTGTCAGAGGCGGTTGACACGTACTAGGAATACCCAGCAGGACCCCAACTGGTTGACCTGACCTGACCTGACCCGACCTGGCCTAAATGCATAAGGACATCATCTGTGATCAAAACTAACATGATATTCGTGATCAGCACCCCGAAAACTCCTTTCTGTTTCTGTCAGTAAATACTGATGAGCTGTGCTTCTGTTGTACCTTTCGAAAGTTGACGATGAGCTGATTGTAACAATTTATGGCAAAAGTCAATTACTCAAAATAATTTATTTAAAACGAATGGTCTCACAATTAAATTTCTATGCACATCTTTCTATGGCTTTTATCAAAAATGCGTTTCTTTTGTAAAAAAAATGTACCTAATATTTTTATTCGAAGACTGTCTATGGACATTCTTAAAATCAATAGGCATGTTTTTCGTGTTCCAGTCAAGCTAAACGCCGAACGAACAATGTGTAGCGGAAAATATTCTCAAATACCTGCGCCCCGCTGGGGTTCTGGATTTCCACGCCCTGCTGGTCTTTGAAAATCTCCCCCATCAACTCGGCTCCCGAGCCACGTAGCGAAACGGGGAAGACGGGGTTCGAAAGAGCGTAAAAAAAAACAAGGAAGAAATTAACCCTCGCCGGACCTATTGGTTTTCTACATACGCGCCGGCCGAGGGGGGGGGGCGGGTACGACCCCCCCTCGCCGTTTCGCCCCTGGTGGAGCTAGCGCGTCGCAGAAAAAACGAGCGTGTGCGCCGTTACGAGACGCAGAGCTTGGTACCCGATTTTAAGGTCCTAGGTCAGCCGGTGACCTCTGAGGTCAGGTCAAGTGCCCCAGAGTACGGTTCAGTTTTTGGTGAATAACTTCGCAAAAAACGGCCGCAGAGCCGCGATTTTGGCAGCATCGTGTTTGCCTCGCTCAGGCGCGTCGAATGATATATTTTTTGTTCGGGTCAGGTCAACTTGGGGTGTTGACCTCAGGTCAAGGTCAGGTCAGCACCCCCAGGTCACGAAGTTGGTCGAAATAGGTCATGTCGCATATCATTCGATTCGGCAGGTCTTCCTGAGTCCATTGGTGGCTTTCTCGACGCGCTAGCTCAATTTGATCGGGAGTTATTGACGAAAAACTAATATGACCTTGATGACGTCATAAATGACGTCACGGAAGGTCAACATTGCAAAAGTGACGCATCTAACCTTGCAAGGAGTGCATCAAATCACGATTCTGTGTCATGCTTGAGATAGTTGGAGATCGTTCCCGGCGCCAGAATAGCAGTTTTCATTTTTCCCCATTGACATAATGGTGAGGTCACGAAAATGACCTGACCTCATATGACCTTTAGGAAAAATCCGAGATATACAAGTTGTGAGACTCATAATGGATACTAGATTCTGCAAGTTTCATTTCCCTGTGACATCTCCTCTGGCAGTGAGGGCGTTGCGAAGTTGCGACATCTGAAGACCGTGCAGAGGTTCACTTATGACGTCATAGGTCAGTGACCTGACCTGACCCAAAAATGCGGTTGGTGTTAAAAGATGTGGCTTGGATCAAAGGTCAGGTATGCCAGGTTTCAGCTCTCTATCGCCAGCTTGTTCGGAGCTATCGCGAAAAAACCCTATGGGGGGCGGCACCCGCTCCCCCCTCGGCCGGCGGGGGTTAAACCGGTCACTTTTTGGGCACGTCAGAGGTCAGGGATTACATGACAAAAAGTCAAAAGACAAAAAGTCAAAAGACAAAAAGTCAAATGCCAAAAAGTCAAAACACAAAAAGGCAAAAACAAAAATAATAATTGCATAAGAGTCAACACAACAAAATAATATATGTAGATTGTTCATTTTGACAAATGTTTAGTTTGATGAAAAACAATATCAAATTCTTATCTGTATTCAATGTAAACGCGTAAACGGCGAAAGGGTGAAATCCTTTCGCCCTTTCGCTTGGTGATTGGCTTTTTCTTACGCGCGTATCGGATCTGCAGTCCCGAATACATCGATGGCGAGATCGATCACATATTCGATTCATTTAAAAAACTTCAATATCCAAAGGCGCTACAGTGCTGCGGAAAAGCACATTTGATAGCCCTATAAACGCTCTTTATGAGTAAATATCCTAGATTTGACCTACCATTAGTTTAATACACTGCCTGGTAAAATATATTGATACTGATTCCATTACTTGCACATTTTAGGAGCTTCCGCCATCTATGCCTTCATAAGCGATTAAAAAAGCACCAAGAACTGTAAATAAAGACATCTTTTCTCGTTTGCAGCTACTATGCAGTTACAATCATGCGGATGCTTTAAATGTTCCTCACCGTTTTCGCCACTATTGCAGCCCGCGCCGTCAATGGCTTAACAACAGCAGCTCTACCCGCCGGATGGGTAAGTGAGCTTTATATCGGCGTAACATCATACACTGGTATAATTGATAATGACAGACAGTATCTTACAACTCGGAACGGTCAACCTTCCATAAGGACCTTGATGGAATAGTCAGTGCCGATCCTTAGTGTTGATTTTTGCAATTGGCAAAGATAAGTGATTTAAGTGCAAGAAGCAAGTGGCAATACCGAAACAGTTCACGAAATGTAGCAAAAAGCCTGAGAGTCACTTTTTTTAATTTAGTCCGAATGGTTGAATGGGCGGATGTGAGGAGTTAGAGTCCGCACTAAGCATAGCTTGGTGTGCTGACCCTGACCCCACCACCCGATCGCGCAATTCCAGTTGTATGGCAGAATTTCGTCCAAACGTTTAAAAATCAATTGGGGAAAAATCGACTCGCTTACTTTTAAACTAAAACACGTCGGAATCGCCTAATATACCATGAGTGACTTCATATAGGATCAACTTTGCCTACCTTGAGTTGAGACCCTTTTGTGCTCTTGGGCAACTGTAAGGTCATGTGACATCATTAAAGGAAAAGGGCCACCTTCGTGAAATATGAAAATATCGTTGTTTTTCATTTTGACATTATTATTTTTCATTTTCTTTTTAAAACTGGTGCCAGAAGTGCACAATTCGCGAAAAAGTATTTAAAACTATTTAACATATTGGTACTATGTTGAATGTTGATACTCTCTACGGCACCTACTGTATGATGGCATAGCGATGACGTCACACTCAAGCCAATCAGCGTTCAGAAGACAGACTCGTCGGATTGTGTCAGATAAGCTGATTGGTTAAAGCTGAGCTGGTTGGAGCTGATTGGTAAAAAACCAAAGCCTCGCCGCGGGTGGCTGTATTGTCGGATAAGAACGCATTCCTGGGATAAGGACGCATTCCTGGCGTATTTTCTTTTAAAATTGCCGATAACTACGAATGGAGGCCGAAATCGGCCGTAAGGAGGTAGACAGATAGGTTTTCGGACACGGGCTACAAGATGGCTATCTCAGTTTCAATCCCCATGTAAAAGGTGGCCCTTTTCCTTTTAAACGTCACCAAAGGTTTTTTTGCTAATAACTCCTAACAGGTTTGAGATACAGATGCGCGGACGGACTCGTTGTGCTCAGCTCGTCAAGGCGCATCGAATGATATATATGATGACCTTAGGTCACGTGACCTAAGGTCAACTTTTGACCTTGACCTTTCGAGGTCAGCATATATATATGTTTCGATGCGGATCGACGAGAGGATCACGATGGTGCTATTAGTTTGCTCCTACTTCCTAGCTGGGAAAAGTTGAAAGTTATTTGAGAAAAACTTCAGTAAAAAATGACCTCAGACCGACAGTGAAAATGACCTCAGTAAAAATTATAGACCTTATCCGTGTGTACCCTGTACCGTTTAACGCTTGTCGCTATCTTGCTTTGTTCTCGATATCTCGCTATCGCACCCACTCGTAATAATGGACAGGTCATAAAAATGACCTGACCTGAGGTCAACGCAGGGCGATGGCCACTTTTTTATTATCGCATATGAATGACAATTGATGAAGCTTTAATCGTCATCAGACAAAATTGCAAGTTTCAGTGGGGAAAATATCAAGGTCACTCTTTGAAAAATAGGTCAAAAGGTCACGTGATCAAAATTTTCAAAAATTGAAAATCCGAGATTGCCAAAATGTTTGTTGGTTGATTGTGAGTTGAACCGTATAAAGTTCATATCATCATAAGAGTTATAAGCCGCCAAACATATTTAGGGTTGCAGCGTGACCTCCAGGAATTGCCCGAGGCTATATCTCGGAAACCGTTATTCGAAGAAAAAAATTCTTGCCACAGCTGGCTTCCCCGCCCATCACAACCCCTTACACCAGTTTTCAACGAAGAATGAAATATGCGGGTGCAAATTTAATTTTGTATTTGTCGATTTGTCGTGGAATGCCCCTCCTACGTGTAATGGCGTGCGTGTCTGTGGCAGGGGCCGCACAAAAGCCAGGTAACGTGAGTGAGCGGAGGGGGCCGTGTCCAGTCGTGAGGGCATGTTAACCCGCGACCGCCTGGGGGGTCGGATCCGACCCCCCTCCGTTTTTCTTGAATAACTCATGAACCGCTTACGCTATGAACTTGAAACTTGGCATACCTTCTCCCCCATTAATTTGACGTCTTCTGTGTAAGTTGTAAGAAGTTTTAACAACACTTTTTGAGATATATCGATTTTAGTGATGTAACTTCATGGCGTTTTCAGTCAAAAAGTAGTAAATGTTTCAAAAATCGCCAAGAAACAAGGTTTCAAACAAGTTGCAAATTAAGGACATCAATAGACGCAGCTCAACGAGTTCTTTAAAATGGCTATCTCGGATTTTCCATAAAATGCGTTCTTGACCCCTAAAAATTAAAAAAACTGTATTTTTTGGAAAACAGCTAATAAAATCCAAAATTTTGAGAATTTCCAAAAAACCGGATCCATGTTATAGTGCTCCATTAGAACAATAGATGTCCCAAATTTCAACTTTCTATCTTGATTTTTGACCCCCAAATTGTAAAAGAAATAGCTCCAACATGCATAGGGCATGGTGACGTCATAAGCATTGTCGTGAATTAGAGGCACTTCTGAACATCGCATGTGAAAACAAATGGCACCAATAGATTCCTGGGACAAAGCTCGTCTGGAAAAATAGCATTTTTATGTAAAAAAGCTGAATAATTGACTTTTTCGTAGCCCTCGTTTAGTTATGTATGGTATAAACGTCTTTTATGCTTTCAATGCACACTTATCACCACTACCAGCACACTGACTTGGGGTCACATATAACCATTACCATCGGATTTGGCGTGAAAAAATAAGCCATAAAACATGTGTCGCACGCCCATGTAGCAGAAAGTGAAAACCGTGACCATTCGTGACTTGACCTGACCTTGACCCGTACTTAGTATGACCCCTATACGCACATGGTACCTTCACTAGGTCTTTGAGGTCATTTTTGGTGAGCTTCGAGCAGCAGCTATCGATTCCGCTGTCCGTAAGCCTAATCATGCCAAACCCCAGAATTTGACCTTTGACCTGACCTTGACCCGAAAGTTGACCTCAATCTTAAAATCTTAAGAGTGCTTTGGGAAGGTCTCGTAGAGACCTTTCGAACGCCGCCTCGCGGGGCTCGATACGACCATTGGTTCTCGAGATAACAGGGGGGGGGGTCGGATCTGACCCCACTAGGCTGTCGTGGGTACGGAAATAGCCCAGGCGGTGTCGGGTTAATGGGATGGTCAAGAAATTGACCTGACCTTAGGTCATCGATATCGAAATTCAAAGCGGTTCTGGTGCTAGGTCAAAGAAAACACAAGGGTGCCTGTTCCACGTCTCTTTCTTTATTAGATCAAAAGGTACAGGTCAGGTCACAGAGGTCAGCTCGTAGTAATGAGAGAGCTCAATTGGAGGTCACGGAGGTCATCTGAGACACGGCAGATCTCAGAGGTCGACTGGGGTCATCACAGAGCTCAATTGGAGGTCATGGGGGTCATCTGGGACACGCCGTTTTTGGCATTGGGAGAATATTTTGGGGGATGCCCCTCGCAACGTCCCAGACCGCCTTTCTGGACTCGCCAGTAGATGCTGAAATAGTAGGTATAAGTTTACTTTACATCCCTGAATACCCCAATGAATGTGAATATAACATATTATTCACCATTTTCAACACTCTCGCTGGCACGGATTGAGGCCTCACAGACGACCCGTCGGTTCAAGCTCTATAACTCGCGTTAGCGTCAAAGGATTGTAACCAAATTTTCAGGATCTCAAGTTCAAACAATTTTACACCTACCATGTAAATTTCGTGACCATGACCCAAATGACCTGTGACCTGTGACCTCTTCCTCAAAGCAAGGTTAACTTGCGACACAACTTACGACTGCTATTTCAAATTCGTAAGTTTTGTCGCAAATCAGGCAACTTGCGAAAGACTTTACTACTTAAGTAACGCTACTCATCGATTGATCCCTCCAAAAACGACTTACTACCCGACTTGCGACACGTCGCAGCTACGACGAGGCTTACGACGCTCTGGATCCCTCCAGCGAGTCGCAAATCTATAATTTGACTTCTGGCGTCACTGTGACGTCATTTCAAATGGGATCGACACCAAATTTAGACACAACCTTGGCTAGGTGTTCAGAAAGGCTTGTGAAAAGTTTCGCTTCTCTATGTCTTTGCGTTGTGACGATATCGTCGCTTAAGTAAAGAAGGGGGCAACTATATGCCCCCCCCCCCAGCGGCCGGCGGGTGGCGCGGAGGCCCAGCGGCCGCAAATCTATAATTTGACTTCTTTCGTCACTGTGACGTCATTTCAAATGGGATCGACACCAAATTTAGACACAACCTCGGCTAGGTATTCACAACCTCGGCTAGGTATTCAGAAAGGCTTGTGAAAAGTTTCGCTTCTCTATGTCTTTGCGTTGTGACGATATCGTCGCTTAAGTAAAGAAGGGGGCAACTATATGCCCCCCCAGCGGCCGCCGGGTCAAGGGATCATTCCATAACAACTCAACCACTAGTGGACAGCTCTTGTCTCACTGCCTGGTAGGTAAGATTTTTTTCGACGAAGCCGAAAATAACTCGACGGGTATGGTAAGTAATACGTATTGATACCTATTAGTGGATCGGAACTCATCACCCGAGCAGACGAGCGCTGCTCCACTGTTTCGATTAGGCCTATTTTTAAACAAATCATGCGCTCAGTGTGGCATCAAAAATCAAAAGCTACAGCTGTAGCAGCAAAAGCTGTAGCTTTGGGGCAAATATTAACTTCCTTATGCATAGTGCAGAACAAGTTAAAGTATACCCGAGTACATTTAACAAAGTAATTATATTCAGGGTCGGACAATTAATTAAGGGTCTCTAAACGACTATTTCGGCGCTGCACGTTTTTGAAAAAGATGCCCTCGTCCAGAATAAAAACTTACAAACCTCCGATAAGAAGTAATAGCCGTTTCCACGACAGGCTATCCGGCGAATGCACCTGATTTGACCAAATCTGCACCTAATTTCTTTTACAGCAAATATCTTCATTTTATGAATTTATTTCAGTTTTTTAATCGATGATGCTCTCTGATAATATGACAAAGCAGGCATATAAGCAATTAGTGCAACCTTAGCTGATAGCTGCTAAGAGACACACTGAACCTGATTTGACCAAATATGAACCTAATCTGTACCAGATAAGCACCAAATGTGTACCAGATGGCCGTCGTGAAAACGGCTAATATCAACGCTCGGCATGAGCACATTTGTCTATTTTTGGAGTTCATGTTTTGTAACTTGACCTGGTGCATCCTGGTATTCATTGACATGGAGTCAAAATCTCGACACCGGATGCAAAGCCAATGTGTTCAATAAGCTATGTGAAGTTTCGTGACAACATACACGTATGAATACACATGGGCACTCGCTATCAAAAGCGTTGCTATCAAGGTAAAATGACATCAAATTCGCTGTTTGCAGGATGATAAAACTGGGACGAATCCGATGGCGGGTGGCCGCCCGGCCGTGGCTTCTAAGATAGACTACATCAATGACTGGAACCAGCACCAGGCGGTCTCAAAGTGGCCGTGGATGGTGAGGTGGTGCCTGCTTACAAATCATGCACCAAGTTACCGACAAGTAGCTCAAATTGCATCAAATTGCACCATCGACAGACACAAAGAACAAATGTCCGTCACATTCACTTTTACACCCAAGATGAGTTCCCTGGCGCTTTCTGTCTGGCTTTCTGATATAAAGAACGACCGTAGAGCGGTTTCGCAGTTCGCACAGAAAGTTGGGTGTATCAACCGTAGTTTTTCACACGCTTGGTAGCAATATAGCTCCTAATTAGTTTTTACACGTAAAATATCAAGGCTAATCATATTTTCCTTTCATATTACGATGCTATTATAATTAGGAACAACTGAGGTGTGACCCCACCACCGGGTATTGGCAGGCCATGCTCCTCGCCAAGCAGAAGCTGGTCTTCAGGCAGCCCGTGTGCGGCGGTGCTGTGATCAACTCTCGGCACGTGCTGACGGCGGCCCACTGTCTGGAAAAACACGCTACGAAACGGTGAGTCACGGTCGGCGTCCGTTGGCCGCTTTTGCACTTCTCCCGCGCCCCACTGGGGTCTGCGTATAAAGCGCCCTACTGGGGAGGGGGCTCTTCATAGCCCTCCCCCCTCCTAACTCCGAAACTACTGGGCCGATCGGCAAAATTCAAACGGCATCTGATAGCCCCGGAAAAAACTGTCGAGCTAAACCTGATTCATTGACCTCGAGGTCACCGATGACGTCGCAGGTCAGGTCAAGGTAAAAAATATCAATGTTTGGCTTGTTCACCTTTTGGGCTCTGGCCACCGGCTTACAAGCAAGATCAGGCTCATGTTTTGTTTACACACTCGTGAGCGGATGCTTTAGATACCCTGAGGGTACCAAAGTTGTACTTTTATTTTCAGGTCAGGGTCAGGGCGTCACAGGTTACGGAAATCATATTTAATGCATCGGTCACGTGACACATGTTTTATGGTCCATTTAGGCCTTAGCTTAGGGCAGGCCACTTTTGGGTCAAAAAAGGTCAAATTTTAAAGGTAAAATTTTTCAACAAAAAAGTTGTCTATCGGATGCCGTTTGAGCTCAGGACACGATGGCGCTTTTGAAAAATTCATAATTGTAAAATTTGGACAATAATGAAAATAACTTGGCTATTTTTATAGATATTAGGATAAAACCTGCTAGAGTAGTTAACCAATGTGTGTTATATCACATATATTCCGGTTGTGCGAAAAATCAAAAACTTTTTGAAGAAATATTTTTTTTTTGTAATTGTAAATACATATTACATATGTTTCAAAAAATTTATAATTTCAAAAAACCGAGATAGCAGTTTGATAGCTACGTGTATTTGTAGTCCACTTATGCAAAGAAAGTGGACCTAACTTTAGAACTGAGCTCTTGAGAGGGTTTGCCGTAATTCAATATTTTGCATCAAAATCGGCCGACATAACGTCACTCTAACGTCATTTCCATCTAGACTATGGTAGCTAGAAAGTTAAAAGTTGAACACAAGGTGTCAAGTTGTTGATGCCACTGAAGGTACCGCGAGTTTCGTGTTGATCCGTCGAATGGTTTAGTAACTAGATATTGCCGAAAAACGGGAGGGTGCTCTGTAGAGCCCCCCCCCCCCTGGTCATGCGCGGGTTAATAAATATCACTCAAAACTTGTATGTTTATAGCTTTAATACTAGTGAACACTTCCCTGATAGTTGAACTGTACATTTTTGCATACTGTAGCCCCGTTGCCCTTAGCCTCCGAACAAACGATTTTCACCATATTCACAAATCACAACCACGGATGGCCGGCGGAACCGACATTTTCTTTTCAAGTTTAATCGTGCAAGAATGTCGCTTCCACCAATAATAACCGTGGTTCGGGGTAGATCAAACGTCTTTGCAGCTTGCCTCTATCTCTTACCATCCTCAATTGACTCAATTCCACGAAGTCGGTATGCCTCTTCTGTTGTGAGTTTCCTCGGCACCTTCATGTTTGCGGTTAAAAATGGGTGTGGGATCAACCACCCTGGGCCATCTCTGAGATAGCCTTGGGCACCAAAAGGGTTCCATCTGATTCGAGACATACTAAGCATCTTGCCAATAGCAATATCATGTTGTTGTTGTTCTTTTTTTTTGCTGTTCTGAAAGTGGTGTTAACACTCGCACCGACATCACCGTCTGCGCCAACTTCATACCGACGGGGGGGGGCGGATAACCGCCCCCCCCCCCTGAGATCTCGAGAACGAAGCAAGAAAGCGACAAGCGGTAAACGGCATGGGATACGCACGGTCAAGATCTACAATTTTTACAAAGGTCATTTTCAGCTCAGGTCAAAGATGACGTCACAGGGAAAAAGTCAAAATGGCGGCGCTAGATATGGAGAGTTTTTCTCGAATAACTTTCGAACTAGTCAAGATAAGAACAATCTAAGGGCACCATCGTGATCCTCTCGTCAATCCACATCGAATGATACATATGTTGACCTCGAAAGGTCAAGGTCAAAGGTTGACCTCAGGTCACGTGACCTCGAGGTCATCATGTATATCATTCGATGCGTCTTGACGAGCTGAACACAATGAGACCATCCGCGCGGCTGTATCTTGTTTCTGTACGGAGTTATTGGCAAAAAACCTTTGGTGACCTTTGATGACGTCATATGACCTTACCCAACAGCAAAACAGACCTCAAGGTAGTGAAGGTTGATCGTATATGAAGTCATGTGTGGTATATGGGGCCATTCCGACCCGTTTTAGTGGTAAAAACAGGGAGTTGATTTTTCCTACATTGACTTATAATGGGGAGGTCGGGAAATTGACCTGACCTTAGGTCACCGATATCAAAAGTCCGAGATAAACAAATTATAGCTACTAATGACCTAATAACATCCTGCGACTTTCAAAGGCCTCCGACATCTACTGTAGCTCTGGCACGGTGACAAAGTTGCAAAAAAGCGACTTGAGGTTGGGTCATTCAATGTGACCTGATGACCTGACCTTAAAAGTTAGGAGGTTCAAACTTGCACATCATGTGTAAAATTGATGAGCAAATAGTCGTATCAAATTTCGCGGCGCTACGCGGCGCAGTTTTCCCGCTATTTGCGAAAAACCTCAGGGGGGGCGGATATCCGCCCCCCCCGTCGGTGCGCGTGTCAATGGCCAATAATGTGAAAAAATAGGTGTTTAAAAACTTTTGGGACACCCTGTGCATATTCTCTTCTGTGACAGTGTAGAAAAGAAGAGGTGTCAAATTTGTTCTCATTACAATAGCTCGGCAATTACTGCGGCGATTGCGCTAGAACCTGGTATTCCGGTAAAGACCCACCAGGCAATGCATTTTCATGTGTTACGGGCAGTGTCCTACTGCACGTACGCATGTGCAGGCGTCATTTCCAGACCTCGAGAACGGCTGGGGCGACTGCGCTAAAATTTTGTAGGCGTTTAGGGACCGGTTGGTATGTGCAAAAACCACTTTGGACCCAGTTTGCACGTGCGCACGTGCAGGGTGACCCTGCTATATCTCGAGAACGGCTGGGTCGATTGCCTCCAAATTTGGCGCACCGTCAGTGACCAGTTAGTAGGGTGTCGCACATCAGCCAGTTGGAAGTACAGCCCACCGCTTAAGTAATGTAGGGTTTTACCAATCTCAACGGTTGGCTTTGACTGGCGATTGTTTAATGCGGAGTGATCGAAAAGAAGATGTCAATAGCTAAAGTTGCAGCTGCAAGGGTGACGATACATATAAGCTACATTCAAAGTTTCATTGTAGTCTGGCTTTTCGTTCCTAAGCTTCAGAAGCAGAACATACCCATGACTGAAACCACACATTACTTCTGCTGTGGACTGTACCTTCTCGCCTTTCCGCACGTGCAGGGCTCACTCTCTTGCTCGCTCGTTAACCCCCCTCCCCCCAAAGTCGTCCTACTGGTATGCCATATTTCATGTAGGTGCCTGTGTTTCAACGCCAAATGCATGGATGTGATACATGGAACAATATGCATGCCTCTTTCCTGAGGTCACTTGGACTGTCTGGTGCTGGTGCCCTGTTTCTCTGCACGGAACTGATTGGTGCTGGTGTTGGTGTCACAGGAACACGATGGTGGTGCGGCTGGGGGACTACGATCGAAGTACTTTTATGGATGGCGTCCACACTGATTATGAAATCGAACGGTTCGTCATGCCACCCAACTATAAAGTGAGTTCTCGTCTTCCGTGTGTACAACAGAATTCGCTTAACCAATCCTCGGATAGTAAATCCAGCCGCTTATTGTAGCCACTTTATCTTTTCACGGATTTATCCATAGATGATAGAAGCGTAAGTGACTACGGTTAGTAAAGCAACCGCTTAATTAATCCAAAACGCCGAGTCACCAAGGTGGATTTATTAAGCGGATTCTACTGTATTATCCCTGTTAGTGTTCGCGAGACCACGGACGGGAAAGGCTAGCGTTTCCAGTTTCTGCTTGACAAAGAGCGTAGATATAGTTTGATTTTAAAGCCTGCATATTCACTATAAGTGATTTGTTGAATGGCGCTAGTGAAACCTTGTGACGCAGCACGACCTCTCACAGCGAATTCAAATGTCAGGTGAATTAGTAGAATAGCACATAGGACACGCATACCTACTCACTCACAATAGATATCACACTTTCAAATGTATGACATACATTTTAAGAATTTCACGAAAAACAAACTCAACTTCACTGCAGATGTAGAACGCACAACACTGTTCCGCCCGTTCACGGCATTGCTATTTCGAAAAGGTTTCTGCTTCGTAAATAGCGATAAAAAATAACCAGAGTCTCAGTTTTGACACAGGGGTGCAGTGGGCGTCTTACCTGACTGGGCGTCTTTTACCACCTTCTACCCTACTTATGTGAGATGTGACATGCCTCCGCCAGGTGAACGCATCCAACCACGACATCGGGCTGATTCGGCTCAAAAAGGAGGTGCAGTTTTCTCCGTTCGTGTGCACGATACCGCTACCGGACGGCCCCACCGGAGATCTGGGTGGAGAGCCGGTCAGCGTGGCCGGCTGGGGTCGCACCAGAGGTCAGTGTCGGTCCCGCACCAGAGGTGGCAGTGTCGGTCCCACACCAGGGGCCAGTGTCGGTCCCACACCAGAGGTCAGTGTCGGTCCCACACCAGAGGTGGCAGTGTCGGTCCCACACCAGGGGCCAGTGTCGGTCCCACACCAGAGGTCAGTGTCGGTCCCGCACCAGAGGTCAGTGTCGGTCCCACACCAGAGGTCAGTGTCGGTCCCACACCAGAGGTCAGTGTCGATCCCACACCAGAGGTCAGTGTCGGTCCCACACCGGATGAAAATTTGAAGGAAATCAGTCCAAAACTGTGAGTTGGACAGGTGCATAAAGAAAATTGAAAGTTGACCATGACGTTGTATCGGTTTTTCTGACCTGGTGACCTGACCCAAGGTCACCCGGACCTGAAATTTTCAAGTCATATGTAAAAAGGTTGCCCCATAGGCTGTGCTAGATTTGGCGGCGCTGCACGCCGCCGTGTTTACGCTATCTTTGAAAAACCTTAGGGGGTCGCATCGATCCCCTGCCAGGGCGAGGGTTAAACGGGTACCTCAGTGGTGTGTCTACCTAAGGAGATGCATAAAAAATTGAATAATTTTTTTTCAACCAATTTTTCATAGGCATGTACTAGTTACCAAGTACCATGCAAGTAAGTGATCATACAAGATCGACAGGGGCTCAAGGGTTCCAGTCCTTTTGAAGAATATTGATCTGTTTAATGCTGTCATTTTAAGCTTTCGAGCCCTTTTGTATCTATGACAATTATTTACGCCGTATATTCTGACGTGCACACATTTCCCTCGCAGTGAGCTCACTCAGCAATAAGCTACAGGAGATTCATATTTCCGGAGTCAGCGCAAAAACCTGCTACAAGAAGTATTTGAAGCGATACCCTGGGCTTGACAAGCTGCTTAATTTCCCCGGTGGCTTTATGATCGACACAAAATTATGCACAAAACCAGGAGATGGACAGGGCATATGTGAGGTGAGTCAATTACAACGGTTACCTCATGGTTCTTGCGGCTGCAGAGGGCTTGGTGTTTGCGTAGTCTATTAGCTAATGGCTAGTTTTCATGTGGCTTGATATTCAGAACAAGTGTTTCTTCGCAGTCAAGCTAACTATATGTGAAATGCCCGGGAACTCAGCTGTGTTTTTCTATAAAAAAAAAAACAGGCCTCATATATAGTGTTTTTAATTATTGAAATCAAGCCTTCGGGTATATGGAAGCCAAAATATTGCTGCTTTTCTTTGTTTTCGTAGTAACACATCCCATTTTACTTTTTCACTGTTAAAGACTTTTGTGTGGTTGTTGCTGTGACAGACCCGTGTTCATCTTTCCGCTGTGACTGCCCCCACAGGGTGACTCGGGCGCGCCGCTGGTGGATAGGAAGCGCTTCAAGCTGGTCGGTATAGCGTCAGCTACCGTCGGCATCTGCGGCTACTCCGAGCTGCCGGAACTGTTCACCAGGGTCAGCGCCTACCTAGACTGGATACGGAAACATGCCAGCATACCCGGGGTCAAGACCAAAACGCAGCACTGTAAAAACACTCTGGCCGTCACTAAGAAAACTGCGATTTCGTTTGGTGGATCGACTGGGACAATCGCGAAAGGCTCAAAAGGTCTTCAGATTATTGGCATCGCATCCGCAAAACCCTCAAAAACTGGCTGAACTTAGCTGTAAAAATATTACGTATGAAACTTGTATGTGTTTTATTATTGTAACATTTGAATCGACGTTAAAATAAGTACGCTAATATCACCGCGTAAAAGCTCAGCCGAACGCTAATGGGGAGAGTATTTTTTATTTGTTATAATGTCCTTAAAAGTCACCGGAAAATGCAGTTATATCGACATAATAATTCATATGATCATCCGGCGATATATGGTCCCTAACAGAGCAAAAGATTCCAGTGAAATGCAAATTGATCCAACCATAGGTATTCTACTTATATCACATATGTGGCAGGATGTGCTCCAGGTATATACCAACTTATCATAGTCTGTGTTACCAGGGGTCAGGCGAAGGATGCTACTACAAGTTATTACGAGCGAGCGAGCGCAGCGAGCGAAGCGAAGTCTTTTCAATATAACGGAAAAATCTCAGTATGAGCGGCCCGGCCCGGCCCGGCCCGGCCCGGCCCGGCCCGGCCTGTAACGCTTTTGAGAGGCTTATATCTCAGCAACCGCTGGACCAAATGGCCTGCGGTCTTTTTTGCTGGGTAGCCCCATCCCTTCTACCCCGTAATTGACTACTTTTGATACATCTCAGTGACCGCCGTGGCACGTGCCACGTGAAAAGTCAAGGGTGTTCAAGCAGTTTTGCAAAAGTAATGATTTTGAGAGGCCCATATCTCAGCAGCGGCTTGAGCGATTGTCTTGCGGTCATTTTTATAGGGTAGCTGCATCCCTTCTACCAAAGGTCGGATACTCTTCTTCTATGTGAGTGACCCCCACTGCACGTGCAAAATACAACAATAAGAGGTGCCAAATTTGTTCCCATTTCAGTAACTCGGTAATTACTCGGGCGATTTCGCTGAAACTTGGCATACAGGTAGGCACCCACCAGGCAATGCATTCCCATGTGTTGCGGTTAGGGTGCTACTGCACGTGCGCACGTGCAGGGGGCGTTTCCAGATCTCGAGAACGGCTGGGCCGATTGCGCTCAAATTTGGTACACGGTTGGGGACCGGTTAGTAGGGTGCCGTGCAAAAGTCATTTTGGACCCCGTTTGCACGTGCGCACGTGCAGGATGCCGCTTCCAGATCTCAGGAACTGATTGCGTTCAATCAGATCTCAGGAACTGATTGCGTTCAAATTTGGTACACCGCTAGCGACCGGTTAGAAGGGTGCTTTGCACAAGCCCGTTGGAAGTACCCTCTCGCCATTCCGCACGTGCAGGGCTCACTATCTCGCTCGCTCGTTCTTCGCCCAAAAGGCGTTTTACTGGTAACATAAAATACCAATTGCTCTAATTTATTTCAAAAACAACTCGAGCTTAAACGTCAGATGACGAATCTTTAAGAGATATTAGTTAGCGGTCTAACATGTGACAATCATAATCAGCCGGCACAGAGACAATTAAATAGGTACAAAATACAGCCCGAGTCTTGTCATTACCAAAAAAGTTGCTTAAAATTGCATACGCACAACAATTAGGACGCATCACAATAGGTACATGGCGAACCACAAGACGAACCAACGTAACTTTGCGATACGTTTTATCTGATTTGAAATAAGCAAGTTCACTTGATCGCTCAACCGCCCCCTTTAACCATAACAGAGACGAGACACAGCCACAAGTGACCAGCAAATTTCAGCAACGAATTCAGCAGAAACTTGGGGCTTGCACACACCACTGAAGAAAAGTTTTCCATGGCACAATTTAATCACAAAAACTATAATATCAGCAATGAAACTTTCCACAATGCGCAATGCATCATTCTCCGTTATGGACAAAGATCATCCTGATATTGTCTCGTTTCGCCTCGTCTCTTGGCTCGTTTCTCCTGGTGGTGTGGGATTTCCGCGCTCTCCAGCTGTCCCTCGATGACCCGCCGCGCGCTCGGTCGGTCAGGCGGCGCCGAGCGGCAGGGCGCTGAGGCACCAGCGGTTCTCAGGCAGCGGCCGGCGCCGGCTGTCGGTGGTCGCGTGCGCCGTCACCTCCCACTCGTGGCTCAGCAGGGAGGTGACCGGGTGGCCGGCCTCCAGGCGCAGCGTCTGGCCGCTCGGCTGGTGGCACACCAGCAGCGGACTGCCGGCCGGCACCGGGCTCCCCTCCGCTTCCATACGGTGGCTGTTCTCCAACAGGTGCGCCACCCAGCGGCCGGCCGGCGCGCGGCACTGGGTCAGCTGAAACACGGCACTGGGTCAGCTGAAACACGGCACAGATAGCTGAAGCCTGAAACACGGCACAGATAGCTGCAATTAGGCTCTGGGTCAGCTGAAACACTGCACTGAGTGAGCTGCAATATGGCACAAATAGCTGAAACACGGCACTGGGTCAGCTGAAACACGGCACTGGGTCAGCTGAAACACGGCACTGAGTGAGTTGCAATACGGCACTGAGTGAGCTGCAATACGACAATGACTGAGCTGAAACGTGGACAGATATAGCTGAAGTACGGCTCTGGGCCATAACGTTGAAAAAGCGCAAATAAACTCTCATGTCATAATTCATACTTTTGCCACTTGTCAGACGGCTCAGTCTCGGCACTCTGTCCCAACCTCACCCAGGTCTAAGCGCCTGTTTACCACGCTGTGCCACCCTGCCCCGCCCGCCGGTCCCCGCGCACCTGCACAGCCTGCTGGCGAGCCTCGTTGGGCGGCACGCAGTAGGCGGTGGGCGGCTCGCTGGTCAGGTACAGACCGGCCGGGTAGCCGTCCTGGAGACGCAGGCTGAACGGCTGCCCGTACCGGAGGACCTCGCGGCTGACCGAGCCGTCCGGACGGGTCACCTGGCGCGACCGGAGGACCACACGACGGTGTAAGGACAGGACGAAAGGTGAACATACGGAATGTCTTTCAACAAGTAGGCACATACGCTGCTAATTAATTTATTAACAGCGATGTAAAAAAGACAATGAATTACCTAACTCAAAGGTCTAAAATGCTTGTAGCGAAATAAAAGAATATCGAAAGGCAGCACCGTTGAATAACAACAGTAAACCGGTTTATCATCGGATCCCTAAAATTCCCGGTCTTCCGAGGTCTCCCGCCTTGTTTTTTTTTTCTTATTTCAGTCTGATCAACTTCCCAACATCAGATTTACCATATATGCACATTGCACCTTGTAGTAGTTTACTACCAATGAGCCATGCGGCACAGCATTTTTTTTAAATAAATTTAGTCCGAACCTTTTGATGGGAAGGATTCACAAGGACAGAGCCACCGCTAAGCAAAGCTTGTTGCGATGACCCTGCCCTCTACCCTCCGATCGCGCAATTCCAGTTCTATGGCAGAATTTAGAGTCCAAAATTTAACGTGCGCACAAAGCCGCGCACGGTCGGTCCCCTCGCTGACTTCGCCTGGCTACGGCCTGCCACCAACTGCAACCATACCTGTCAGGAGGCCCATAAATGTCAAGCGCCCGTCGCGCCTCGAACCCGGACTGTCATAACCGGGAACGCATGCTCTCACCACGCGGAGTCCAACGCTCTAACCAACTGCTCTAACCAACTGAGCTACGGGACCGGCTATCAGGCGTCACAACCCGCCAGACATCTAGCGGTTAGAAAAGAAGCTGTATGAGTCGTGCGGCACAGCATGAATCAGGCGTCACGAGTTAGCTGACATCTAGCGGCTAGAGTATAAGCTGTACGAGTTATGCGGCACAGCATGCTTCAGGCGTCGCGCTATGGCTGACATCTAGCGGCTGGAAGAGTAACTGTTGTATGAGACATGCGGCACAGCATGCGTCAGGCGTGACGACCCCCCTGACATCTAGCGGCTAGTACCTATAGCAACCGTTTAGAGAGCCTTGCGGCACAGCATGTGTCAGGCGTCACAATTGACCGGACAGGGACATCTAGCGGTTATTGTAGAAACTACTGCATGAGCTATGCGGCACAGCATGTATTAGGCGTCACGATTTGCCTGACATCTAGCGGCTAGAATAAAAGCCATATGAAGCATGCGGCACAGCATGCTTCAGGCGTCGCGCTATGGCTGACATCTAGCGGCCGGCCGTATAGAAACTGTTGTGAGAGCCTTGCGGCACAGCATGTTTCAGGCGTCGCGCTATGGCTGACATCTAGCGGCCGGTATAGAAACGAGCCTTGCGGCACAGCATGTGTCAGGCGTCACGATTCGTCTGACATTACGTGCTCGGTGCGCTCACCGTGAAGACGTTTCTGGCGCACGGCTCGAGCCGCAGCGAGGCGCACACGGCCGTCGGAGAGGTCAGTTGGGTGGGACACGCGCGGGCAATGTCGAACACGTTGGCGGAGAGCGCCACCTCGGGTACCTGGCGGGACGGACAGGCAGAGTCTCAGGTCGGTGACGGGACTCATTGAGGTCTGTGATGGGATTGGTCTGTGATGGGATAGGACAGGTCTGCGATGGGTCAGAGAGTGAGAGTGATCCGTCACCTGTGACGGATCAGTCACAGCTCGGTAACAGGTTATCCACAGGTCGGTGTCGGATCATCCATAGGTCGGTGACAGGTCATTCGCAAGTCGGTCACGGGTCCGGAATATGATCGTCTGCGGGTCGCGGGACCCGCGCTGACTGACCTGGTTGCAGCGTCCCCCGGCGGCCCAGACCACTCCGGGGCATCTCAGCTGGATGCTATCGCCGATCCAGATGTTACCGTCGACGGCGGGCAGAAGTCGCACCGGCGCCAGCAGCTGACTGATTATGGCGTCCGCCTTCTGCTCTCTCACACACATACATCAATGCATAGTTATTTTGCTCCACAGTTACACCCAGAAACGAATTTCAGTGGACGGCGCAACTAGAGTATGGAAGGAGATCTGTGGGTCTGTGCCGAGCTATAAAATCATAAAACTTATGTTTTTTTCTAAGTTATTTTGGGAGCTGGCTTATGTCGGCTTATACTTTACTTATCGTCTTATGTCGGTTTCGGAAAGAACAGCGCATCGTGGTACCTAGATCCCTTCTGTCTAGTCTAGGAAAATTAAATATAGTTTTATCGGGGTCCGGTCAGAGCATGGTAACTCATTTTTAAAGATAGTGCGCGGTGGTGG